CGCGCGCCCGCGCGCCCGCGCGCCCGCGCGCCCGCGCGCCCGCGCGCCCGCGCGCCTACGCGCCTACGCGCCTACGCGCCTACGCGCACGCGCGCCTACGCGCACGCGCGCACGCGCGCACGCGCGCACGCGCGCACGCGCGCACAGGCGCACAGGCGCACAGGCGCACAGGCGCACACGCACACACGCACACACGCACACACGCACACACGCACACACGCACACACGCACACACGCAAACACGCACACACGCACACACGCACACACGCACACACGCACACACGCACACACGCACACACGCACACACGCACACACGCACACACGCACACACGCACACACGCACACACCCGCACACACACGCACACACGCACACACGCACACACGCACACACGCACACAACGCACACACTCACACACGCACACACGCACACACGCACACACGCACACACGCACACACGCACACACGCACACACGCGCACACGCGCACACGCGCACACGCGCACACGCGCACACGCGCACACGCACACGCACACGCACACGCACACACGCACACACACATACACACATATATATATATATATATATATATATTACCAGTGGCGGGCTGTTTTTCAATCCCCGGATTTTTGAGGGTCCGGAACGACGTCGGGGTGGTGTGGTGTATGCTTGGTTTATCCGTGTCCCAGGGGAACAACGAAGCGTGCATACACCAGGATTCCGTACACACCAGGATTCGTTTTCCTGTGCGAGTTGCAGTGCGGGGCCGGAAAAAGAGCGTCGGCGTATATAGTTCGGCTCTCTCGAGTGATCGTATTTTGGTCAAGAAAAAGCGCTCCGAGTGAAGTTGATTTTCAGGCGATCGCAAAAATGAATCAAGTGGGCGTGGATTAGCGACGGGTCCCGCTTCCATGGGAAATCGCGGATTTCCGCCGCCGAACGAGGCGGCGCCGGCCGCATTTTGGGGAGGGCACCTCCCCCGATTCATGGATTTGGCGACCGCGCGCCAAATCCATTGATCACTAATCCATGTTTGCGCGCACCCGAGATCTTCTTAGCGCCAGATTTGCTTAACTCTGTGCTGGGGTGCCGCCGACCTCTGGCGGGGGGCCCAGGCCCGTCTGAGCGGTGCCAGGAGAGCGGGGGCGAGGGACGGAGGGAGGCGAAGAATAAGGAGGATGGCGGGGGGAGGGGGAATCCAAGCTGGCCACGATAGCAGATCTCTTGGCTGCAAGTTGGAAGCCAAGACCGTCCCCCATGAGCCTGATCACCCCGGCCGAGCTGGTCGCAATTCGATGGATCAGGGTACGCTTGCCCTGGTGAATACGGGATGAGGAAAAGGAGGCCGAGGAGGAAGAGGAGGAGGAGGAGGAGGAGGAGGACAGATAGATAGATAGATAGATAGATAGACAGACAGACAGACAGACAGACAGACAGACAGACAGACAGACAGACAGACAGACAGACAGACAGACAGACCACATGCGAGCCATAGTTCGGGGTCCAGACCCCAATGGAAAAATTACCTCGCACTCTGGTGAAGCTAGTTCTGTGGATCCTACGACTCTGTGCTACGCTTGACTTGCGCCTGCCAGCGGCTTCGCTGGGGGACTCCACCGGCTTGCGGAGGGAAGGCCCGCTGGGAAGAACTACGCCGCCCACCAGAAGCACCGGCCCCCCACTGAGCACATAGGGACCTGGCACCGCTCGGACGTGTGCATTTTTTCTCGGCGAGGGCGATCGAGGAGCATACTTGATCATTTGGCGAAAAAACCACGCACGAAACCAAAAAAACACAGGGAATGGACGTCCGAGCGATGGCCAGGGGACGAGCCTCGAAGTCGTCACCCTGTGGGTACACTCCACCTCTGCGGGTGTGATTCTGACGGAGGGCGGGAGGAGGCCGGGAGCGGGAGAGGGGGAGGGGAGCTGACCGAGGCCAGGGGGAGGTCAGCGGGGAGGGTCTGAACTCGGGCAACTCTCCTAGGGAGAGCTTCAAGGCTCAGCTCGAATTCCAGAGGGGCCTCAGAGGCATGAATCATCGAACAAAAGCATACCTCCTGTTTTGTACTTGAGGATAGGCGTGGAGGATCTACTCTGAAGACGATTCAGCATCTCATTATTTATCAGTCCTTTCACCGCCATGTCTTTCATGCGCTCTGAGCCCGCGA